TACGGTCTATTATTTGATTTGCATATCCCAAACACTTTGTACGGTGGAGATAAATTGGAAATAACTGATTTGAACAATTTTAAAAATGGTCACAAAAACCTGTAAACACTACGAAAATAAAACAATAACTAATCAACAACGATTTGAGACAATTTGTCATCCAATTAATTTTTAAAAGTTGATTTAATACAACTTATGATTTTTAAAATTAAATATATATTTTTAAATAATCTTTATTTGTATAAAATATATTACCTATACGCAATGATATTAATAACTATATTATTTATTTATTTCTGTTTGAAATCTAGAATAAAACTAAATGACTACCTATTTAAACTTGTGATTATAATTATAAATAATTATAAATACTCGTGCGCGTGTCACAAAATATCTAAAATTAAAATTATTCCATGCAAAATATTGCAAATCATAAACCTTAACGTGTTTCAAAAGTTGTAGGATATTTTGTTACATAAAAAAATGAAAATTGTAGACAGATTTTTCTATACTAAGTATATAGAAATAAATTTACTTACATATTTTACATAATTTATTATTATATATATATATAAAAAAAAAAAAAAAGTAATCCTATAGTTTTGTTATAGATTTTTAACAGAAATAAGTAGTCATTAATGTCATAATATGGTACATAAATATTATAAATAATAAAAGAATTCATAACACTGAATTAATATATAATGATACATATTATAATTCATATTTAAAATTATTGGTTTTAAAAATAATGAGTTTGTATGAACAATTGTGAGTTACAAATCAACTTATAAATTGAATTTATTTAGTTTTATTTTTATTTCTGTGCTATGTACAGGCTTAGTGAATTTTTGAAAAGATTACAATTTTACTTAATTGTAAGTTCACAGGTTTGATTTGGATCCAAAATATTAAATGTGAATATTTTATAAAATTCATATTTTTTGTTATACAATATAATATGTATTTTACCGTGCTTTTATTTTTCTAGTAAGAAGTTCGTTAAGAATTACTTTAGAACACTTTCAAGTTCCAATGAATATTTGAATTATTTACACTTAAAATGGTATATTCATAAGTTCATAGCTATTATTAAAAATATTTGGATTTAATTTTATAGTGTATGTTCTACGTTCTACTGTATACTGTCAAATGTCAAACTCGTTTCGATTGCGATAGCGCAATAATTGTGCTCGCTAACAGATGATAAAGTTTTGAATTATTTTAATCTTTTATAATTTTGTAAAATATATTTCCTGATTTATTTTAACCGTACTAAGTGTCCACTACCATTTCAAACATATTAACTGAAGTTTTCACCATTCACCAATAAGTCAACTTAGAAACTTTTGAATCAATTTATTATTTCTCAAAAAAAAAAAAAATCTCATTGAAATTTAAATTAGAAAAATTTCTTATATTTTTTGAAATTTCAAAGACAAAAAATAATTTTGAAACTTTTTTTTTATAATTTAGACTCGAAAGATTTGTAATACACTTTATAATTTATTAATGTTTAATAAATATACATAATATTATTATGTATTTTCAAAATTATTATCAGAGTAAAATTCAAATTAATACGTCGAAACTCCAAAAAACGGTAGTATAAAATCCCCTTAATATTGAAAGTGAGACTATTACGGAATATTTATATGGATATTGAATATACTAATATAGATTGTAGTATAAGGTACTGAGATAATGGAATGAATTTTCCGAATAAAATAGTCATCCCTATGCCCATATAGGGCGTGTTCTTTATTATAAAAATGAAGACAAACCATTTCAATTTATAAAGCATATAATGTATGCAATATGAATAGATTATAGATTATATTTAGTTAAGTACTATATACTAAACTATTTAAAGCTTTATATTCATAATTTAACAACTTACAGGTTGTAAATAAACATTGAGCCACACGTATACAATTTATTATTTGATATAAATTATAAACATTCAAAAAAGTAAACAATTAGTAATTGGAGGGTATGTATAATTAAAATATTCCAGAAAAATTTGTTTTGACCCTTTGGCAACTTTGTTTTATTAATTGAATTACGTTTAAAAATACACAACACACATAATCAATTATTAATTTTGAAAGATTTTAAGTAGTATGTACCTACTATATATACTTAAAGTAAAAATTATTATATTAATATATGTATGCCATCATTGACATAATATTATATGTAAAATATTATGATGTATAAATATATAATTCTATGATGGTTACATACTATACTTACATAAGTATTTATGTATATATTTAAATTTTAACTAAATGTTAATAATTTAATAATATGTTAAACTTTATAAATAAATAAAATTGTACTATAACATTTTTTGTAGCATAAATGACCTTTGTTTATTATGACTTGTGTTAATTTAATTTTGTTAGCGGAATCTAATTCTGAATTGTTAATACGTCATCACTTCCTTAAAATAGTACAGTTATATTATGAATGATTTTTTTTTTATACGTATCTACAGTGGATTATGGATTGTAATAGTAGAATTTTTGAGTCCTCTCCAGAAATACATTTGTAAATTATAAAAACAATCTACAGATGCCAAAGCTGCATATAATATTTGAATTCAGTAATAGTGTAATACATTAATTATTTCGATAAATTGATAGTATAAAAATAAAACATAATTACATAAATAATTAATATAAATAAATTATGATAGTATTGAATTAGAAATCATAAGTGAAATAAGTTCGAACTTCGAAAAGAATGCTGGGGTATATTATTTAATATCTCAACAGATTAAAAAAAGTAATTTTTACTCTGTGATTTACCTAAGATGATTGTTTTTTAATTTTGCGTTTAAATGTCTCAGATTAGCTAATTTAATGTTATATAGCTTTATATAACATAATAAATTGTTTTTTAATCAAATAGAACACCTTGTTCATTGTTGACCTAGTCAATAAATTAAATACTCATTTATAATATACTATATGTCTATATAGTATATATTATATACATAACAATTAACCATATAGAAATTTATTGATTTTTACATATATTATTTCTATTTATGAAAAAAGAAAAATAATTGAACTGTTTCAATTATAAATAATAATTATAAAACATATTATATTATATAGATAGATAATTTTAATTTTATTGGAATTCTAACAGTCTTATTTATAATTTATTAATGCAAAAACAATATATACTAATGACATTGATCGGACTAACATTATAAAAAAATTATAAAATACAAATAAGGTTTTATGTTTCTGCAAAGCTTCAGGAACGAAAGGCTAAATTTAATATTACCATTGATTAAAAATAATATTATTTATGTTGCTATATTTTTTAATGCATTCAGGATATACCACGTTATTTACGCTATTTCTTAATACATCTAGGTATACCAAAAACAAGTAAATAATAAATACCTAGATGGGCTATAGAGAAGGGACTGCTTCAATTTTTAATTATTATACAATTAATGCAGTGCGCGATTAGGTTACAATGTCCTAACGATACAAAAATATTGATTAACAAATTTAAAATTCTCACTAGAAGATAATTACCAGAATTTAAATAAATATATAATTTAAACATTTCAAACATAAAAATAGCATTAGCTTGTCTTAAAATTTATACTGTACATAGCTGTACCCCTGTAAATCATAATATTATTAAAATAATCGTTATTTTTATTTCTGGTGATCTAATAACGCTGGTAGATACAATGAAAATAATTCGTTTTAGTTATTTCCGAGAAGATTCTGGTTCAAAAAATACCTAAAAGCTACTAAAAAACCTACAGCATAGGCTTAACGCTTAAGACTTAGAAGTTGAAGATCTAGAAAAAATATTAGTATGTATTACGTAGAACATAATACGTCCTCCAATATATATATATATTTTTTTTGTATTGATCTTATTTAAGCCCGACAACTAAGGCCATTAGCTGTAGATAGTAACAGTTAGAATTTTTATTAAAAGTTTGTTTGTAAAATTTGATTTGTACGGTTGGAACACATGTGAGTATGTATGTGCACCATGGATTCATCACTAAGAACTCGGGTGGTCACCCATCCAAGAGCAAGTGATGCCGGCTGATGCTTGACCTCAAAACACATTAATGACTGTGGCCAACCACCGCGCCACAATCCACCAATATATACACAAGTCGAGAGACGTATAGTGCTGACATTTTTAGAAAAGGTCAGTCGATATTATTACCTGTGCATAATATTATGATACTGTATTTCTAAAATAATTGTTATTTTGGTACCAGTTAGCGTCAGCCAATATTTTCCATTTTACAGGTATATCTTACTTTCTATCTTCACGAATGCAAAAAATTCTATAAACAGTATGATCATTAATTTTATAAAGTATTTTAATATTAAAATAAAATCAATGATAAAAATTTAATGTATATGACTGTACTATATCACAAGAATTTTGTGATAAAATTATCGAACTCGCCAGTCGTTGTGGATGAAACGTCGCCGGGTGGTGTCGGTCGTCCGGGACAATCAGTCCGGACGCCAGACGCCGGTTGAAAGCTGATAAGGTCGCGGCAACAATCAGTGATGCAACGTGCCGGGATTTTCCCAAGAAGCGACTAAGCGAGGGCGCCCGTCCGATCGACGACCGGTCCATATTATTCGCTTCATTTGCGGAGCGGTACTGTTCTTCTGTCGTTGCTTCGTCGGTTGTTGACGTCGTGTGGTGGTGGGTGGGGTGGTAGTGGGGTGTTGTTTGAGGTGGCAGAGGAGGAGTTGGTGATGGTGACGGGAACGGTGACGGTGACGTCGGTGGTGGCGGTGCCAGTAGTAAGTAAAGTTGTATTATAGTCGTACGTGGTGTAGTTGGTCGTATCGCCGCCGTCACCCGCGACGCAAAAGCGGGACCCACCATTGGCCGGCTGACGGCATTCCGACGGCTGGGCTCCCCACCACCATCCCCGGGTACTGGGAAATCTGGAACCGCTCTGCCACCGGCGCCGAGACAGCTCTCAATCCCAGTTGTCCGCGTCTCGACCGTACCGTTTCGCGTTACGGCCATATTTCTTTTGTTTTGTTTTGTTTCGTTTATTATTTTTATCGAATTAATTTCACTGTTGTTATTACTGTCATCGTCATCACAGACATCGTCGTTGTTCGTCTTCTTCACCGTTCTTCAATAATTTTTTTGTTAATTAATTGCACCGATTAGGCGTTTTTGTTTACAATTTCCCTCGTACGTGTCTGGAATATTACAGTCCGTGTGATTTGCCGCCGTCTTGGTTTAATAAATATCGTTACATTTTTCGTCTGTCTCTATCTATCTCAATGATTCGTTGTTTTCCTGTTTAAATTTCGTCCACGTCAGGAATGAAAACATAATATCTACCGTGCGTATGGTACTTATTGTATCATTACGGTAATAATTGTCGACGTCCGTGTGCGTTTCCTGTGCTCGTGCGTCAGTACTTCATGCCGTCGAATTTCGTTCACGTAGAAAGCGATCGTCTATACCGTTAGACTTCCTGAACGTCATCAGGATCTCTTTGGTTCTACGCTGTTATGCCACTGACGTTCTGCACAGACGAGTTGCAATGTAAGTACACAAAATGCGTGATGGCATTCATGATATTTTTTAATATGATGCTACATTTGCATTGTTCATATACCTTACCTCCTCCCTCTACAAGTCTCTAAGAAGGTATTGATGGACTATATTTTTTCTCCATTTGATTGTCTAATTGGCGTTTTAGTCTTTAGATTGTTAAAATTACTTATATTAGGTATCTAATTGAACTTTTACATACAATTTTAGAATTTGTGAAAATGAATAGCATGGATGAGCATAACCGCATGATGCATCCAACCAGTGCAATGTTGCCACAACCTTATGGGATGTCGTCTGTTGATCCCAACCACGGTGCTCCCACGCCACCTGATCAAGATACTCGTAAACAAGATATTGGTGAAATTTTGCAGCAAATAATGAACATTACTGATCAGTCTTTAGATGAAGCTCAAGCTAGGTAATTAAAGTCTATTTATTCTACATATATTCAATATCCCTTTATATTATGTTTATGTAAACTTGCAAGACTATTATCTTAAAATTTTAATTATACTTAATGTTTATCATTAAAATTCTAGGTACCTATTTAAATTAATTGTTATCCCATTTTCTATTACATCCTACTTTTTATTAACTTATTTTTATGGGTATTATAAGTCTTAAACCAATGGAATTTTTTGATATAAAATGAATTTACTAGCTAGATATTTTTGTATTAAAAATTATTAATAATTTACGAGTTGTTATAACTAATAAACATTTAAAAAATTTAATTTTAAGATACTGATAATAAATTAGCTATAAATACTACAATTTGTCACAATAGTTATATGGAGAATGTAAAAAGTGGTAGATTTTTAAATATATTTTTTTTTATTTCCAAACAATATACAAATGTGGCAACTCTAGATCTAAATTCTGGCGATTTTTTAATCCCAGTTCACTCCTAAATATGATAAATAGGTTTTATCACTAGTTTTATCTAACTTGTTAGTTTGATATATTTTTAAATTAATTAATTAACATAACATGAAGCATTTAAGTCATAGACCAATTATAAACACTTATCATTTTGATATTAAGATTATAAATACCTTGATTATTTTGATTTTGTATAGATGCTGCCTTTTAATAATAGTATTATTTAAGAACATTGATTAACTACTTGATACATTATATTTTCTAGAGTGTCAGAATCCATACTTTTCCTAACATTTCATTTTCTAAATATAAGAATAATATTGATACATTTTGTGAAGAATGCATGTAGATAACTTTCATTTTTACAATCACAAATAGTATTAATTTCAAATATAATTATAAATAATACCTATTTATTTATGAGTATATTTTGTAAATTATTTAATAATCATAAACATGGTTTACAGATTTGTGACTTTCAAGTCAATTGCTCCAAAGCTCAAAAGTTTTTATGCATTTAAACATTTTTTTGTCAGATCTCATGTTTTTATATAATTACATTAATTCATACTAAAAAAAAATTAACGATTGGTTACTTAAATTAAATAATATATTTAGATATATTTCTGATTATATATCTGATAACAGTTCCAAAATTCTGTTCTTACCAATTAACTTATTTTCAATTCTTGAAAATAGAAATATATGGTAGTGGAAATTTATAATACTCAGTATGAAAGATTGAACAGTACATTGTTAAATATTGTGATAGAGAAGTTGAATAAATTGGTATTATAATACAATATAATCAATTGCACTAGAATTAGATATAAATATGAAATTTACATTTTTGAGATAATTAATAATAATGTTTAAATAAAAGTTATCATTAATTGTTTACACTAATAATTAGTTATAATTCAAAATAATTGTATGTGTTTTAAACAAAATTATATACTTAGAAAAGTGAATTTTATAATAAATTCTTTTCTCTTAAAGTTTTTTATTTTTCATTTATTACCTAAAACTAAGTATTTAATTTTCTTTAGATAAAATATTGCATTGTTCCAGTTGACAGATTCTTAACTTAAAACATCTGATTATTTTATTAATAAGTTATATAAAAAAAAAATTGATGAAATAGAAACTATTAAATAGCCTGGTGTAGTGTAGGTATGCATGAAATTGGTGTGTTCTTATTGCACTAGATAGACTGTAATTTTGTTTTTTTTACTATTGTTTTTGGACAGTATTTCATCTAATTTTCATGATAAGTTGAAATTAAATTTTAAAATATATTTATAATTGTATTGTGATAATTCTTTTATTAGTATGGTGTAAAAATAATATTAACAATTAATTATTAAAAAATATCAGATTAATAAAACTATGAAATCCCTGTTAATGAGATATTATGTAAGTAGTTAATAATTTAATTCCAATTTAATTGTCCTGTGTATATGACCTTGTTTTAATTGACTGGAGAGATTTAGATAATTGATTATGTTAGTTTCTTTATGATTTTGTTGTACTTAAAATATATTCAATAATAGGTATTTTAATGTAATTTTTATGATTTAAATTTGAAAGTCATTATTAAGTGTCAAGTTTCTGATAAATTAAGAGATATAAGAAAGCAGAACTAATTTAAAACCAATATTACTAACATTAATTTAATATTTATTAGTACATTTTCTGACACTAATTATTAAAATAATTTGTAATATGACCTTATTGTTATTCTATTTAGAATCGAATTCAAAATTATAAATTTGCTACTAACAATTTTAGGAATACCTGAACAAGTTTCACAAGAGAGTGTTATTAAAATAAAACATTTTCAAAATCTTGCATTTTTAATTATATTCAAAAGTAAAAAAGAAGTGGTTTCTTTAATTAAATTGTATTAAAGGTTAAAGATAAAATTTACAATCACAAGTCATGAGTGGTAATCTTATAATATAAAGTAGAAAACATAGTTTTCAAAAAAGTTTCAAGATTGATATCTGTATGACTTTTTTTCATATTCTCATATAAATTTTAAATGCAGCTGGAAAATGGGAGCTGCCAGTTGCTTATCAATGATGTCATTTATTTTTACTTTTTTTGTCATTAGTGTTATGTTTATTAGTAGGTTTTGTAATTTATAATTTAATTAGATCTAATGTAAAAAACATATTTATAGCAAAGTATTTTCTTCTAATTACTTAATTTTAAAAATGAAACAAGATTCAGCCTGTTTCATTATAATACTATAAATAATCTCGTTATTAATACTTGATTATAAATTGCTTCTATCAATACAATTATTATATTAATGAGATGTTCATCGCTTATTATTAGTTATTATTATTATAATTTGGTTTAAAAATATAGTTAACGTATTTGTAAGTTACTCTTTAAATAAAATCAAGAAATAATTATTTGGAGATAAAACCTTGAAAATAGACCTGGGTAAACATTTTCAACACTTAAAGAAATTGTTCTATTAATTATATAGAAGAATCAACTAAACTTTTGATATGTCATTTCTACAAGTAATGTATTTTATTTCAAACAGATATAATTTTATTCAACTCAAATGTTAGCTGTATGTTATATCCGGATAATTATCTTAAAAAGTATATTGAATAATTTATCTGATATGTTTTTTCCACGTACCTAAATACTTAAAGTTTTATTTGTTTGTAAATTTTTTGAAATGATTTATTTTTTATAACTATAGTTATATACATTATTTAATTATCAAAATAAATATTTGTGAAATTTGATTATTGTTTTATACAATTTCTTAAAATGTTTAAGTTAGATTCAGACTAAAAAAGAATATAATACATAATTTATCTTTTATCCATGTTATAACATTAATAGTACTAAAAAAATAACGAAAAAATTATTTTTGGATACTAACATCGCTTTTACAATCAAATTTTTTGTTTTCAACGAAATATCATATAATTTGTTGAATGTTAAGTTTTTACAATTTATTTTTTATAATGTTTTTTATTTAATTTATAAAAAATGCTCTCAATTTAAAGTTATGTAAAAAAAATGTACGATATGCAGTATCTCTATTTACTACTAGTATGAAATTGATAATAATTTTTTTCGTAAAATTTAATAAATAACAATAATATAAACAATCCTTTATTTTATTTTTTTTTTTTATCCCGTTAGTGGATTTATTCTAAAGTTAGTATCAGATTTAATGATTTATCTTATTATTTTTTATTATTCAAATAACATCTTCGGTGTTGTGGGCCATTATATTTTTAACATTTATATGTTAAGAGTACATATTATTTTTCAATTATGTTAAAATTTATAACATTAAATTTGTGAACCTATTCAATATCTTTCAATTATTGTATCTAGAAGCAGTAGTGGATTTAAAGAAAAATTCAAGTGACGTGTCGCGTGTATAGTGTAGAACCAGGGGTCTCTAATCTTTTTTTACGGAGGGCCATGTCTGAGATACACTTTAGCATCGCGGACCAATTTTTTTTAAAGGAATAAAGAGGTAATCAAATTGAAAATGAAAAAGATATTTTTTGATTTTTGAAAAATGAATATTTTTTTCGATTAATCATTGCCGCTTTTTAAACACGATAACGCAGATAACGCAATTGATGGGGTAATCGACAACGATTAACGAAAAACCATTTATTTTATTTTAAGGTTTTATTATTTTTCATTCACTATAGGAAATACTATTGATAAATAAATAATATATTCAAAATATAAGTTAACTTGGCGGGTCGGTTTGAAAAGCTGAACGGGCCGTAGTTCGTAGGTTGGGGACCCCTGGTGTATATACGGGTATTTGCAAAAGTACCTATTTATGAAACATTCTAAATATTAATAGTTGATGCACATAACAATATTGTTCCTAGTATTATTAAACAATTTTTACTTTATATTTTAATTTTTAATTCATTTCATAAAATTACTTAACAATCACAAATATTTAATTAATAAGTGATTATTTGAACTAATAATTGAGTATCAAAATAAAATTGTGGAATGTGCCCAAGGCCTTGATGACAACAAATTGTCCATAATTTTTCCGAGATATCCGCTGCAACTTGAAAATTGTCCTTTTAGATTTAGATAGTATGTTTAAGATTTCAAGTAGATGTAGTTTCCCTAAAACTAAATAAAAACCTGTGTTCTGAGTCTAAATATTTTTTTCAATTTTCTCTTCTCAGATGTAGACCGTTGTAAAACCAAAACAATTAAATACATTTAACAATATACCTTATTTTAAGACCGAAGCTAGCGAGTTTAATATACTATTTTATTGATTAATAATAAACCTAGAATAACTAAATATTTCTCATCAAATCAATAGTGAAGACTGTAGATATACCACGTACCTATAAATTTAATTTTTATTAAATAGTTTTTTTTTTTTTTTTAGTTATGGTTAATCCTAATGTTACGCGATCCTAGGCATTAGTGTTATACAAAATACAACTATAATGGTGTTATAATAAACAACTATTACGTGAATTAATTCTGGTTGTATAGGTGCTAGGCCTTGGATTAATTACGAACAAATTGTATGGTGACATTTTTAGTTCATCTATTATTTTTTTTTATCTTACACGTTATGATTTTTTTAAGAATTCGAAAAATCTAAGTGTTCAGTTCTTCTATCTATAAGAAATATATTTTGTATTCATAGAAAAGACAAGTTTATTTACATTTAGATTACATTTGTCAAATTAATTTTTATATTTTAAGAGTAATTGGTTAAATAGAGTAATTTTAGATTTTAGAATATTTAATATTTATTGATGTTCAAAATGCATATGGCCATGTAAGTTTACTTTTAATGTAGCAAAAGTTACTAATTTAACGTTTTAACCCTTTTTAATGTAGAATTGAACGTAGATTTCAGACGCGATAATAGTTGTTTTGAATATGATGATGGCTGATGACATTTTATTCTATCGACCTGCTCAATACCAGAAAAAATGTATGGGTTAACTAAAATAAAATTTGAGGGGTTCTGAATTATTTATTCGGTGATCTGATAAATATATACTTTATACATTAAGTTTACCGATTTCTTAGTAAGATAATTAAATACTAATAATTTATTTTATGCTATTATTAATGTTACAACTTATAAATGTATAATCGTTTCATAAACACATACGTTTTATTTAGTTTATTAAACAAAATACTATTTGTGAAATCAATCGATTTATTAATTCAAACATAATACCTGTTTGAGTAATTATTGATTCGAATTAAATTTTTATGACATAAAGATGTCAAAGTTGAGGGTTTTCAGATCTTAGACTCTAATTTTGATGTGCTAGTAGAATCTTTTCTAAACTTATCTTTTGTAATTTGGGCTATTGTAAATATTCAAATTTAACTTAACTTTAATTAAATCGAATTGTATACATAAAAAACAAGTTAAATTTATTTATAAGAAAGATACAAAAACTGTATTAATTGTTTATTAAAAAATTAAATAAATTCAAAATAAGTATGTAATTTATATTTTCTCAGCTACCATTATTTTAAAACTACCTACATTAGATATTTACCAGCAACAGAATAATTGTACACTGACTTTATACTATTGAAATTGGAGAAATAAACTTTCAACTTAGTATAATACTGTGTTATTAGAATACATGTTGTAAAATATAACTTATTTTAAGTTATAAAATACATTTTATTTTAATAGAAATAAAACTATAATATGAAATATTATGATAATTCAATTTAAGATATAAATATAATTTAATTCGTTAGGTTAATTATTTTATTACGTCCATTAAATTTTTTATGACTTTCAATACAATTTATAGATAAAACTTTAATCATTTTATAATTTTATCTTAATAGTATTTTATAAAAGGTGTACATTATTTTATGTAATTAATTATTGTAGATTTCAACTAATATTTAAATTTAATAAACATATTTCATGAAAAATATAAGATACGAGTATAACTTTAATATAAGGAGTATTGATAATTGTGTAAGAAAAAAATAATTATTTGTTTTAAATTTAAAAAAAACCTATTTATATATATAGGATTATGATAAATTAATTAATTAGATTTTTTTTACTTAGTTTGTTACCATAATGGTCCAAGTATTTAACAAAAAATAATATTTAAAATAATAATGTTACATTTATTCGGTAAAATATTATGTACGTGGATGCATTATTGTAATATGAAAATTAAAATACATTTTATTCTACCTAAGAAATTATATTATAAATAAATATCAAGCTCAAACATAATTTTTACCGTCATTATTAATTATAGATACTAATTGTAGTTTAACTTTGTTAATGAGTCAAATTTTTATTTTTACAGAAAACACACATTAAATTGTCACCGAATGAAACCTTCTTTATTCAGCGTTTTATGCGAAATCAAAGAAAAAACTGGTGAGTAATTTTTATTTATTTAATTTTTTAATATAAACTAAATAATATGTAGATACCTGCTAGAAAAAAATGTACTTTATTTATTTATAGTACTTATAGTCATTTGATTTTGAGTACTAGGCAGTATTAGTAGTATTTCTATATATTCATAATTTTATTAGTTTAGTTAATTTATATATTTTATTTTTTTGATTTGGTGGGCGTCCACCGTGCCTGGAATTACTGATTCCTCTCTCTGTATGTTTATATATATTATACTTAAATTTATATAATTAAAATATTGATAATATAAAATCATGACAGTTGATATTTGTTTTTTTTTTTTTTACTCCGTCTGATTTGTGCCGTAAATAAGTCGCATACCAAACACGTTTCGCGTTTCCTACACTATGAATGGTTGTGAAGACTATACAAATATCTACGATAATATTAAAATTAAATATATAATTCACATTAATATTATTTTAATATTTTAATACTTATTAGACATCCATTCATCAATATGCAAAGCGTATTAATTCTATAGCATACAAATAATGAAAATCTTTTTATACTTTCCACATAGTTAGAACCTATGGTTCATTTGAACTCTTAACTTGGCGCGATTTCTTTCTCATTGTTGATTAATGACTTCCTATTAATTAATTATTGCTTAAAAAAGTATTTCATAATAAATATACGATGTAAGTCCATGTTTTGCTTTGAAAAACTGAATAAAATTATCAAAATATTGACTGATGTAAAATAAATTAAATATTATAAATAATAAATGTATATGTTGAATTAAATTTTTCAAAGTATTAGAAATTCATTATTATTTTTTTTTTTTTTTGAAAACGTTCATAAATCTACTATTATTGCAAAATAATTTTCTAATGTCTAACATAAACAAGACAAACTCTAAAGTGGAAGATATTAAATAGATGGTTCCTTCTATTCCTTAAACCTCCAAAATAAAAAAAAATCTACAATGTTTTAATACTTTTATATATTAAATTTTAATTATTTTAATATTTTGTAGTTTTTAATCATTTTTACACTAAATTAACCACTGTTTGATTCGGAAATGGTCTCCGTAATATATATGATATAATTAGATTGATCTATTTTTAAATTAAGTAGCTATACTAACATTTTAAATGAGTTAATATTTATACAGATCTGCTGTAATAATATAATAAGCAAATAAATAATAATACAATAATAATTAGTAAATAACTGATAAAATTGAAGACTAAGTATATGCATTGCCTCGAAAAGTTTTGAAGATGCGCATTTAAATAATATTTAAATAAAAATGTGTCGGTTAAACAATTAATATTTATTTTGATAATTACTCATACGTAATGTACATAAATTTTAAAGACATAAACTTACTATTAAACACCATCCAGAAAATTAAAATATAATTTTATGTAATAGTTTTAATCGAGGTTTTGTAATATCTCCAATTAAAACCTAAATTCATATGTATTTTTTTCAACATCTAAGACCTAATATTTTATTAGCATAAAATAATATTTTGTGTTTAAAAGTAGTGAATTTTTTCTAATAATTATATCTTTTTTACGGTTAATTTAATTTTGAGATTAAAATTCATTATTAGTAAATAGTATTTGTGAAATATTTAAAATAGTTCTTTTTTTATTAAATTTATGTTATACAATATACATAACCTCAAGATATGTAATAATAAGTATCAATTATTATAAACATAATTTATTCACAATTTTATTCTTGGTCCTAAATAAGTAATAATTTATAACTCCCATTTTAAAATGCGTTTATATAATTTAAACTATAAGTATATAAATAAACTTTAAACCAAAAATAATCTCATTTCGGTATTTTTTCTGCGTTATTAGATTTTTTTAATATATCTACTCAATCTATATTTTTTAAAATTGAATAATGTATAAAAAACTGAATTAAAACCAATAGATTATTTACACGTTCTAATAAATTGATTTAATTAAATTGAAATAGTAATATTATAATATATACTTCATGTAAATTAATTTTGATATAATTTAATACAATGTTTAAATATTTTAACTATAAAGCTCTAAAGTTGGTTTAATAAAATGTAAAGGTTAATAAATTGTGGTTTTTTTATAACATTCTGCTTATTCCATCTGTTTAAATTTCAAACAACTCTAAACTATACTATTCTATAATAGGTATAAATTTATTGTTTTTTTGGAGGGGGAAAATCATGTTTTCTATTGAAATAGATTCCTCATTGTTTGAATTGTTGGTCAGACTGACTACTCTGTCACAGCATGCGCTTGTTCAGAATCGACTAATGCTGCAATGGTTCCAAATATTTAACTGGTTATTATTATTTTATAATGCTTATTGTAAGTTTTCCTTACCAGTATTATTTTTTTTAAATATCTGTTGAGTTTAAATAATTTATATAAATTCATAACTTGAATATGCAAATTAAACATACTCCATTAATATTAATACATGTATAGTATAGTTTGTATTTTTATAATTATTTGAATGACTCGACACGGATAATAATTGTTGAATCGTTCACTTCAAACAATATTATAACAACTGCTGAGCATCCCTGGACCAGTAGGTATGAAATATTTTAGAACTGGTTTCTTTGTGCATATTAAACCTGCCGGTTTGCCTCACACCATTCTCATCCACTGCCAGGACACCCCACGTATGTCCCGCCTAAGTATTTAAATGAAATCAAAAGATTTAACTCAACTAAACTCTTAAAAAAAAAAAAACACATCGATGTTATATCTTGAAAATTTGCCTTATATTTACTGTGATGAACGACTTAACGAATATTGTATTACCAAACATCGTTTTTTTTTTAAGTTTATACTAGATAGTAGATTTAAAAATTTCTTCGTTGAAATGTTTCAATGTCTTATATGATTTGGTTATCAAGACTATTGAAATAAATTTAACTTTTTAAATATTGTATAATACACGTATAGTTTAAAATAATTATAAAACTTAAAGTTTTAATTTCTTTTTTAGAATACTAAATGATAAATGAACAATAAATGTATTGCGTCTACTATAAAAAATTATATATTAAAAAAAAAAAAAAATCGAACTGTAAATAAAATACTGTACTAATGTATTTATTATTTTTGTTTTTTAACAGTCCAAAATCATCAATACTTACATTCCGCTTCACTATTATTTCTATTTTCTTTGTTGTAAGCCGCCTCTGTATAATATGATGGTTTCATGGTCATTAGTTCTAATTATCTGATTCATTAAAATAGTGAATCTTAAATCGTATTATTAATTATGTTTATCACGTTGGCATTGATTGAATACTGCTTGTATGTCAGTTGCATTTAATTTATACACATAATATTATATGTATAATATTAATATATATTGTATATATACTCAAAAATATTTCTTACTCAATATTTCATTTATATTTTTTACGACATAAAAGTCATTAACCTCCTAGCCATTTAAATTTTCAACAAGTATAACGATACTTTAATTTTACTATAAAATGCACAATATTTAATTTGAAAAATATACAAATCTTAAAGTGAACAATTCTTTAATGTTTTATTTTATAATAATGAGTTATTAAAAACTATGATTGAACTTAAATTAAGGAAAATAGTTTATATTGAATTTTGATATATTATAATCGACTGTTTTAACTTTTAATTTTTACTAATTATTTATTTTATGAATTTTATTTTTATGTACTTAACATATATTAGATTTTAATTGTTCATTATATAATATAGGTTTATCATGTATATAAAAAAAGATCTCACTTAGTTCAAAAAACGGTAGACTAAAAATCAGTTCCATGCATGATTTCTTCATAGAAAGTAGCGTATCGATACAGTATTTTTTTATGAAGAAATATACAATTTGTCATGGCATCTCATACCTTCTTTCATTTTTCTCTTTATCATAACCATTTTTTTCGAGGTCAATGGATTCTGTAGTTTTATATTGCTACATAAATGTATTTTTTTTAAGAAAAATGAAAAATGATTATATCTAACCAGAAAAATGCTTTGTTTGAAATCTGTTCTTAGTACCAATTTATCGTTAGAATAAAAAAATTCTATGTATAAACATATTATAACATTAATCAATGATATTTAATATCATAAATTAGCATATTTTAGCAGTTTTTTTTGTATTTGTACATGTTATATGTGCGCGGGTTTGTGAGTAGAAGCAATATTGTAACCCATGGTGGTTTAAATTTGAACTTCGTCTGAGTGGCTCATGAATAATTCAATGACAGTATAGGACTAGCGGCAGTCATTCTAAGTGGGGATTCCAGGGTCCAGTCTGTCTACCTCCTCTCAGCCTTCCGCCCTTCCTACATCTCATGCAAACGCAATAAGTTATTATGTCCAAGATAATCCCCTACATGTTGTGTACAACAAAGATAAAGGAAAACTTTAAAAAAAAAGATAACTTACTAGTTAAAACTATTTTTATGTTATTATTATCAATATTTGAAATCTCAAATAATATATAAGTATATTTGGAAAAAATCATGAATTAAAATTGAATCGCATTGCCAAAATACACATTTCGACTGAAATAGTAATTCAAGATAAAAGTTCAAACTATGTATTATGTTGGAAGTTTTAATTGTATCTTAAATTTATTAATTTCATCCGAAAAAAAACATTTACTTTATTCAAGTTTTCTATTTCATTATAGGAAATTATGTAATTTAATTTAAAAATGTCATCAGTGTAGTAAATATATATTTATTCATATGCATTTTTTTTTTTTTTTTAGAACACTAAATTTGTATATTATAATACAAATAATAGAAATAGTGATTTTTTTTAAAAATATTTATGTAGTAAGAGGTATATTTTAAATTATTAATGATCTTCTAACGTTTTATAATTTAAAAAGGTATATTATATATTATATAGTATATACTATAGTAATAATTTGATTTTCTTTCATATATTTTTATTATTTTTCACTAGTAAATAGTATAATATGGTTTT